TATACTTGCGGTAATGATATAATTACTATTATTAATAACCTGTAACTATTTATGTATTATATAAAAAATGTTAATAATAATAAAAATAAGTGTGGAAGAATGTCGTAAACGTTAATGAAGAATCTGCTAGAATAGAACACGTTATCCTAGATTTCTAGTATTCATAATTTATATTTATTTATTTATTTATTTTTTATTTAAAACATCTTTAGGCATGATAACATATACAGGCGAGATCTTACCGCTGTTTTACAATATGTTCCTGCAAACACATATTACAATAACAACAACAACAAAAGTAACCATCACAGTACAACAAAATATACAACAGTTAAAACTGAAATCGTATTACGACCAGAATAGAATGGACTGGCTATTAATTATGACATCTGATATCACTCGAACGCAATCCGTAAATCAAAAAGACATCAAAATAATACACAGGTCAGTTATATCCATTACAAACAGCCGCTCAGGCCTATATTACAAAATTACATTAGGGCCTATGGGCAGCGTTCACACGATATATTTGATGAGATAAGATAAGATGGTTTTTAGTGGTTATCGATGTAAGATGGAGGATTAGATGAAGTGTTCATTTAAACGTTGGTCTGGGTGAGCTATAAGTATAATTTAGATATTATATTTGAACCAATTCAGGCCCATAAACTGGGCCAGGAAAAGAAGAATTACATAATTAACAGAGATATATATGTTTTTTTTAACAAAACTTGTCCCTGGCAGGATTAAACCTGTCGAGTGTCAACACTGACAGAGCCTGATGATATAGCGATAAAGTGTTTAATCCTTGTTTGAAAGAGAGCTCCGGATGGGAATTGAGCCCAGATTCTCGCACTGTTAAGCCAAGTGTCATACAATTACGTCACCAGGCCCGATGGTATACAAAGTCAGATTCAGATTCAGATTCAAATATTTATTACGTCAAAATGTCAATGCATCATGAGAATTGGTTTCCACGGTTCAAAAATACAAATAAGACTTATTATATCTCTACTAAATGCTTGGATATGATGACAGTGTAAAATATTGATTCATTGATGGACTATAAAAGAAAGATTGCACATATATGAGTTGTGTGAATTATACTTGGGGCCTATATGCCCTTAATGAGATGAATTAAAAACTTACTTTATACATCAGGTCTAAACATCTAACATGGCAAAATCACCTTCTAAATAGTTAATTGCATAAGGAAGGAAAGCTTTATTATGTCGCTCTGTGCGTTTACTTGAAGGCACCATTCTACCAGATCTGCTGAATTTAACATACTTGTTGAGAGGATGTGAAATATCATTTGCAATAGA